TTTGGCCACGTCTGCACAGCCCTGCCACAAAAGTAACAGAAATAAACAGGGCCTATTCCATCAACACAAATGGAGATTTGTCATTGATGGGTCAGTCACTGGAAGAGGGTGACCAGGACAGTAGTCCGTGATCACTCAGCTCTGGATACTGGAGATCCACCAAAAGCGAGCAGGTGATAATAGCATCCAGGTCCTTCTCAGCAGGAACAGAAGTTTAAAGATCTCTGATACAGATGAGTTTAAAGACCTCTGATACAGATGAGTTTAAAGATCAGTTTGAAGATCTCTGATACAGATGATCTTTAAACTGAGAGTTGATGGTCTGAGTTTGCACAGCCATGAGGGCCAAGTCTTTTGCCCCCAGGCAGCTGACAAGGATCTTCACATCATAGCACATGTCTGGGATGAGTTGGTGTGAACCAGGCAGCAAAACTGCAAGTACAAGGGAAGTCTAAAAGGGGGTTGGAGCCAGTGGGGTCCAGCCTCTCCTTCCAGGTTATTTGTGATAGGACCAAAGTTTTAAGCTGTGCCAGGGGAGGTTTAGATTGTATATTAGGAAGAATTTCTTCACAGAAAAGATGATTAGATAATGGAATGGGCTGCCCTGGGAGGTGGTGGAGTCACTGCCCCTGGAGGTGTTTGAGGACTGGACACGGCCCTCAGTGCCATGTTCTGGGTGACAAGGTGGTGCTGCGTCATGGGCTGGACTCGCTGATCTCAGAGGTCTTTTCCAACCACATTGGTTCTGTGATTCTGTGTGACTTAGCAGGGATCTGCTGGAGGTGTGGGGATGGACCATGGGGGTACCAAAGCTGCTCTTTCTGCTGGCTGTGGGTCTGACCCTGCTCACAGAGAGCTCTGAACCTCGGGGGAAACCTTGATAAGGCAAGCTGTGGCTAAACTACCTCTAGAGAAGAAATAGAGCATGCTAATGAAAGGGAGGAGGGTAGGGGGGCCAGGAGGAGCTGTGCCCAGGGCAACTCCAGGAGCTGTAGTCCCACGCCTTCCATGGCTGCGCCTCAGCCTGTGCCCTGTGCTGGGAATCAGGCTTGGTGTTTCCTGGAAAACCCCAGACAACTGACTTCTTTCACCAGGGAAGCACTTGGGAAGAAGGAAAAGATCAGACTATTGCACTGACTATTTCTTAGTCCTTAAGAAAGTCTGCTCTGTTCATTGCTGCTGAACCAAGCCCCCTCAGCAGCATGAGCTGGGGCGGATGGAATGTATTAACAGCAGAGGGATGCAGCACACAGCTCTTTTGGGTTTGACTGGAGAACGTGTGGGATGTTGGTTCCCAGGCAGAGGCGTTCATGTCCCCTTTTTGCAAGGGAGAAAGGACATGTCAGAAGTTTTCCAACAGATGGAGCACCGGGACAGCCGTGGCTACTGTCAGCCACCAGCTGAAGTGCCTTTTTTTGGTGCTGGAAGAGCTGGATGTCCATATATCCATCCTCTGGGCAACATGTATCTACACTGTCAGGATGAGACTGGAATTTGATAATCAGAAAGCAAATGTTTTAAACTTAGAGATCATTCTGGGTTGAAAAAAAATACTTAGCCTGTGAAAATCTCTAAATTAGGATTTGAAAGGTGCTTGTGGATCAAGTAAAGCAAAGGGTCTCCTGATCTGTAGACCTTCCCTAGGAATTGCAAAAAATGGCTTGTGGTCACTGCAAACTGGAATGGAAATTGTTTCATACATGCCACAAGGACACATTTCAGATCAACAGTCTATCCTCAGGCAATCTAGGCTGATCAGCAACAGATGAAGTGCAACATTTGTATTATATTTGGTGACCACAGCAATATCAAACTTATTAAAGATTCATGTTTATAAAATTGACAGCATAAGGTAATAAATGATCACCTGTTTTCACTCAACAGAGAAACTAGAATAGCTCCCTTCCTAGTGTGCATACTGAAACTGCAAATATCATGCTTCCTCTGTTTTGAGGAAGCATTTTTGGCAAGGTTTGCAAAACTTATTTTTGTGATTCCAGTTATTCTAGCTGTGGCAGAAAAACACAGAGGAGAAAGACAGGAGCAGCAGATTTGGCCTGATGAGGATCTGGTGTGAAATTCAGAGGTCACCAAGGACAACTCATGCAAAAGCTAAGAAGTGTATCATCAAACTCACAATAATCATGAAGCAGGCCATGACTCAGGCTAAAAGCCTGAAAAATTCAAGGAATGGATAGTGCCCAAATGGTAAGGTCATGGTAATAACAACACAGGGTGACAGTGAGGAATTAATAAAATCCATCCTGCTGCCTAGCAGAATGAAGGATGGGTTCAATTGTTTCTGCTGTTGCTGCTCACATCTGCTGGGTCCCAAAATGTCTCAAATCTTTGCCAGATCACAGTCTCCACAACACTATGAATGAATCCAATAAGATTTCTTGCATGACTGGAATTAAACACTCACACAGGGACTTTACTAGAGCAAAACCTTGTCTCTGCTATGCCTGAAGCTTCCCTGGAGGCTCTCTAGGATTCACAGCCCTCAGCCTCTCATTGTGTTAGGTAACCAGCAAATTTTCTTGAGGGTTCCTGCAAATCTGAAAAAATAGAACAGCAGTTTTGGGAAAGCTGATACTCTGATGCCTGGTGATAGAAGGCTTTTGTTGGAAATTCTGGTAGTAGCAAAGAGGATGAGAGACTATGACTTACTGGTAAAGGCTGACATGTAATATCCCTGCCTCAAAGCCAAACTCCTCATTAGATTTCTAAGTTTGGGAGCAGGAAAAAAAACCTACAACTGCAAAACTTCCATAATCTAGGAAATAAAACTGTCCCAGCATACATTTTAGAATATAGCTTTGTTCAATCCTCAAAAATCAGTTGAACCTTCCTGGAACATTTCTCAGTCATTCTGAAGATTGCACTGAAATGTGATGTAACATTATTATTTTTACCTAATTTTCATGATGAACATCTTTGGGTAATTACTGAAGAGAAAGATCAGAGGACATATAGATTTTATATCTTCAGATGCTCTCTTCCTTTGACAGACTTTGAAAATAATATATTTACATATTCATATGGAAATTTAGCTATGTATTTTTAAGGTTTTTGGGTACCAATTTTTTACTGCTCTGATGGGAAATCCACCATACTACTTTGTAAGCCCTTGGACTATTTGTCTTAGCTAAATCAGGATGCAAGAACAAAGTGTTATCAGGAAGAAGTAGCAATAAAATATAATAAAATATAAGCTGAAAAAAAAAAATACTGCAGAATCACTGTGGAGGTTTGACACTGCCTGCCCTGGTAGCTCAGCCTGGGCTGCAGCATCCTGAGATTTTCCTGATACTCTGACTGGAAAAGTAGAGTAAGGACATGCCTGGCATTAAGCATGCTGGCTCTGCTTAAACCACCCAGTGGTTCAGTGATAGCAGATTCAGTCCTAGATGCAACACGGATTTTATTCCCTTGTGTTCTGTAGGGAGTTTGATGTTACGGTTAATAGTCAGTGGATTAGGAATCACAGTCCTCTTGTGCATGACCAAGCAACAGTCCCACACCTTTCCCAGAAGGACCAGAAAACTCTCAGCCCAATACCTGCCTCTGTTTGCTCCATTACTGTGGGTTGATAAAATCTGTCTTAAAAAAAAAAAAAACTAAAAAAATCCCCAAGACAAAGTTGTCATGTGAAGAGTCCTTCTGGGTTTCTGTAAGACAGAAATAAATCCAGTAGTGCAGAACTCCAGTAGGAAGGGTATTTTGGGCAGGATTTAGAGAACATTCCTGCCTTCACCATTTCTGGTGAACAGCACAATATGAAAAAACACATTTTAAAAGAGTCCTGTGAGTGTGGAAGGTGAGCCTTTCCGGGAGCTGGTTATTAACACGCCATTGTCTAATGAGTACTGATGTCAGAGCTGGCTGCAAACACCGCGGGGCTCAGCCGAGGAAACGACTGCCTTAAGATTAATGGTGACAGTGATGTATGTCACTTGTAAACAGCGCTAATCAGAGATGCCGGCCGGGAACCGCGGGCCAGGCAGGAAATGAATACAGCTGAGAACTTTGCAGACTCACTTTCTTATTCTGACCTTTCAAAAAACCAAATAAATTAATTCCGTTTAGTGTGGATGTAAACACTTTCCCCGGCAGAAGTTCTGATGAAGCTATAAAGACTCCCAAGCCTGTGTCACGCTTGGGTTTCCATCTGGGATGGCTTAAAAAATCCTTTAGCGATGCCTGACTAGCAGACCCCAAAAATAAAGTGTTATGTTCCTGTTGTCAGTGTTTCGTATCTGAAACAGCGCAATTTTGTTTCCTTCCTTTTAAACAGCAACAACAAAGGAGAAAAACACGTGTTTCAACGTGAGCTGTGTGCAGGCATCGCAATGATTCTCCTTTTCTAACTGAAGAATCCCACATACCAACCCCCTCCCCTGGGATGCATCTTTTAAGGGCACCACTATACAAATTCTCTGAATTAGCAGACAGCAAGATCCTCTACTCAACATTTCCAATACAACTCTTCCTTCTGGATTTGCTTCATGGGGAAGAGATAAAAAAAACAACCATAACCTGGATCATATTATTATTAAATTTCACATCCAATTATGGTTTCCAATGAGGAATAAACAACATAAATATTGAGGAGTGATAAATTGGTCAGAAGTGACTGAAGAGCAGGATTATTAATTAAAACCAAATTAGTTCAAACCACTTAATTTTAATTTTCAAGTCTTCAAATGTCTTTACATGAAAGCAAAATATGGAAATTAATGTTTTCAGCCCATGCTCTTCAGTGAAGTTTCTTTCCATGCTTATTTCTTCTTGTAAGAAGAAACAGTAAAAACACTATTGTTTTGGGTTTTTTGTTTTTCTTCTCATAAATATTGCTTCCCTTCAGCAGAAACCTAACCCAACAAAAGCCATACTGGTAAGATTGGATTTGAATTGCAATGCTGGAGCTTGGCTATGGAGGAGCCTGGGCAGTGCCAGAACATGAGAATGGAAATGGAGGAGACAAAGTTTGCATTTACCTGAGAAGTAAGGAAAACAGCTTTGGAGAGAGATGCTGTGAGATTTCTGACAAAGGAAGTTTTCCCATTGTGCTCCAGCTCCTTGTGCTGAGCCGAACTGCTCAGTCAGGGCTGCACTGCTATTCAGCTGGACTGAAAGCTTGAATCTCTCAGAGACTCCCTGTAAAAAAGAAGCATGACATTCTCAGTGTACAATACAATGGCCTTGTTGCTAATACTGTCAGTCAATATTTCTTTCACGGAGGGCAGCTACTGTGTCTGTACAAATAAAGCATGACCTGATCATCAGCTGTGACAGGGCGTTATCAAACACCAACAGAAGCCAGTGCAGACACTTTTCAGCCAAAAAACAGGAAGGCCCAAAGGATCAGGGCATCACCCCATCATCCTGCACTTTATGCTCTATTTAATTTTACTCTTGTATCACATGACTATTGTTATGAAAATACATTTAATATTTATCTAACCATTGAAAAATTTATTTCTGTAGGTAATAGAACATTAACTCAATATTGTTCTCACATTTCAGAGAGAATCTTGATTTGAGGGCTTAAAAATCAGTAGCCTCCTTCCCAACAGATTTGTGAATATATTTCAGTGGTAGAGAAACGGTTGGGAAACAGGACATTTAGTTCTCATCACAATTTTTTTTTTTCCGAGGTTTCTACATCTCTAGTCATGTCATCAGCATAATATTCTGGGTCTGCTTTATCTGGTTTTAAAATCACTTACTCGTTTTCCTGTATTGTCATCTTGCAGCACCGAAATGGCCCAGAAGCATTTATAGGGTCATTAATACTGTTACATTCGAAACAGGGATGCTCATTAGCACCAGCAGCAGTTCTGACAAAACACAGACTGACCTGGAGGCAATTTGGCTACTGCGTGGCCTAGATTTAGTGTAAGCTTTCTATGATTGGGGTGGGGGGGGGGGCGGGGGGAGGGGAGTGTGGGTGAATGGGGGAAAGATTGTTTGTGATTATTCCCCCCCTCTCCACACTCCTCCAGATTTTCAAGTGAATTCTCAGGTCAGGAGGTGCACAGCACACTGCTGCAGTCAGGACTGACACAAGTGCTTGCAGTGTAGTACAAGAATAATTCAATCGTCTAAGGCATAAACCCCATTTAGGTTTCACTCGAAGAGTGAGTTGGACAGGCCCTTCAGACCATGGCTGGTGGGTGCTGAAAGAGGGGACACAGCTACTCATTCCCATTTAGAAGCTGCCTGGCACAGTGGGCCCTCATTATTCACTTCTGAATTATATTCCATGCTCCAAATCTTTCTTAAATCAGCTTAGGTAAACTGTGGAGGCTACAATTACAAATATTTTCTGGGAGATGAAATCAGCAGGTAACAAAATTATGGCGAACAAGCATAGACAGTATTTTATACACATAGCACGTAAAAAGAAAGCTCATGTGACCACCACTATTAGAGAAAAGTGGAATAAAATCATGCAGTCTGTATTTATTTACTTATCTCTAAAAGACAGAATAAATTATTAAACACAGCTGCAGTTAAAGCCAGTTTAAAATATGCATGATATGATGCATAAGCCTTCTCTGAAATTGAAAATTAGATTTAAACTGTAACCCTGCTTCCTAAAGTCCCTTGGGTTACAAAAGGCAGTTGTGCATTGTTTCTTATTCAGTCTGATTTTAAAATTTGTATCACACATGTGGCCCATGAGAGTTTTTCAGTTAACTCTTTATAAAAAATCACAATAGATTATATCTTATTCTTCTTTTAATGTTTCACAAATTTGCGTTCCTCGCAGAATTGTTTTTTTTTAATTTCTTTTGAATATTAGTATCTCCCATTCCCGTCCTCCCCAGATCCACAAGAAAAATGCCACAGTGGAACTCTCACCAGAAGTACCCATGTAAGTAAAACACAATAAAAGTATGGGAGGTAATGAGGTCATGTCTTCTCCTCGAAGTTCAACGTCCTACCTGAGAAATCAAAATGAGACACTGCCATTAAAAACATGAGAACTAATAAAGTCTTAATCCTACTGCAGTAATTCTAACCCCTTCCGGTGCCTCATTCAGCTAACACTGAAGGTGTTTCTTTATTAGATGTATTGTTCCTGTGACAGCTCCAACAGAAACGGAACTTAAACCCAAGAAACTTAACTGACATCAGACTTATATGTGAAGAGATAATTTGTGCTGATGAACTTCAAAGATTAATACATTTTTACCTTATGCAAACTGAAATGAGAAGTTTTGGGTTATTTAGTAACAAAATAAAATAAAAAAAAATACAGATTTTTTTTTTCTGAACTAAAGACTTTCTATCCTTGGTGGGAGATTGCAAGTAAAAATAAATTCACAGACAGAGAAGTGAAAGAGGGTGCATATAGTGGACAAACGGGAAATTAGAAGTGAGTGGCTGTAATTTCTGAAGAATAGTGCAAAAATTAAAATATCTGCTTGCAAAATGATTGATCAGCCAAAGTTTGGATGAGATGCTGAGAAACTCTGAGTTTGAAGTCAGGGTGTTGTGGATGGAGCTGTGTGCAGCACATGGCACTGAGCCTGTGGAGAGCAGCTTAAGGGTGGATGGGATGCCTCCGCGAGGTGAAGAGAAGGCTGTATGTTATTTCATGCAACATTACTAGCATTAAGGTCAATTTTAGGAGCCTAGGGCATGTACAGATGTGTGGGAGCATGGGCTGGTGTCACCCTACCCCGAGCAGGAGCTGAGCTGCGTGTAGCAGCCGCCGCTCTGGGCTGTGGCTTGCAGCGTGAGCCTTGTGGAGCTGCAGTGTCACTTCCCCAAGTGACGAGGGCACAGCCAGAACTGCCCTTAGAGCCCGGCGTGGGCACAGCTGCCACCTCCTGCCACCACCTCCTCTGGACACATGCCTGGGGCTGGCCAGGGCAGTGCAGGCTGCTGCAGCATGTGAGAGCTGGAGCCAGCGCGCACCGGGGGCGAGGGAGCAAAGGGAACCTTGCTGGAAGCTTTTCTGGAGGAAGATGGAGAACCCACTTCTTTTATTCCCCCAACTCAACATTTCTGCTTCAAAGGATAAACCCTATTGCAAACTCATGAAATCAGCGATTAAGGAAGAGCCACAAAAGGCGAGCAAGCCTGGGTAAGTGTTCAGATCATGCCGACCCTCTGTGTGTTCTGTTTACATGGAGGATTCTTCTAGCATAGTTTGTGGGGGTGAATTTAGGGCACAGCTAATTTCATTTTTGACATATATATATGAGAACTCACGAACTGCAATCCTAGAAATTGTATATGTAAAATATTAACTATTTAAGAAGAGTTATCTCAAAGAACTCTCGTTCTTTTTTGAAGACAAGAAACAAACCAAATTAATGATTTAAAAATACTAAGAAAGAGAGGTTGCAAGAAGTTCTGAGAAATGCTTCTCTAAAGCCTGAATATGATTTGGGAAAGGTTTTTTCAAAAATTTCAAATGACAGGAAGCAATACTTCCTTTTTTCTTTGCGAAACATTAAAAGTAGAAGAGGCTGAGCCAACTGTTTATGTTCTCTAATGCGAAGTTTGGCCCCTCGCCTTAAAAATAAATTGAAGGATGCTGAAAATGGAAGGATTTCAATTTTTCTTTGCCAGTGCTAAATTTGTGCTAAGCTATGAAGAAGAAAACATTAATGTGAATAATATATGTAGAAGTAACACCAACATCACTGTAAGTGAAAATAGGGAGCTCTGTAACGCAGAAGCTAAGAATGCTTGAGAGGGAAAAACCAACTTTCTACAATATTTCTTGAAAACCTACTCCAATTCTGTTATAGAGCCAAGCAGAAGAGAAATAGGCTGAGCCTGCTCCTGCAAAAACCTGAATTCCATGAAGGTGATCACCTTGGCAAACCTGGAAACTTGACAAAAGCAGCAAGGTAAACATTATAAAAGACTGGATTGGTTGGGGATTCCTTCCAAGAAACACCTGTGTGACTCAGGATGTTTCCTGTACCCATGTGTGTGCATTCAGAATGGGCAGAGTAATACTTTGAGAATTTATCGGTGTACCCCAAGCATGCAAACACTACAGAATTTCCTGGTATGCACTGAGGAATCAGCAGTGCTTTCACTCCTCTTGGTCCCCATACACTTGTAGAGAGGTTTAAACCTTGTGCTAGCAGCCTTGGTATGAGTCCACTGGTGGTACAGAGCAATAATCCACTCAGAAATGTAGCTGGCAGGAAAATCACACAACTCCTGGCAAAGCAGGTTTTCCAAAGACTTCTGTGATGTACAAATGGCATAGATGTGTTAAATAGTGAATGCAGAGTTCCTCAGTAACTGCAGTAATTTGTTGAACATTCTTGTCTCCAAAATTCATACACTGGTAGTATTGTCCCTAGTATTTACCATAAAGATGCAGGGCACACTCTTGGGTTTACTGACTTCCACAAGAGTTTAATTCCTCACTATAATGGAGTACCAAGATGTCACTGCTATATTAAGAATTGCATTTGTAGGTTTTGACTGAGAAGAAGGAATAACAGAATTCTACAACACTGTGGCCTAAAAAGAGTATCAGTGCTTTCTTTCCACCACAAATCACTCCAGAACATGTCAGGTTCAGAGCTTTCCATGGCCTTTTCTCTTGTTCCAGCAGTTCCCACTTTCAGGACAAAGCTGCCTACTTTGACTAGAGCTGCTTCTACAAGCCATTAATGTGGTAATAAATGAGCACGTAGTAGAGGTCACCTAAGGGCCCTCTGAAATTCTGCTTCTAGAACCCGTGGAAAAGTGGCTGGGGAGGGCATATCTAAACACTCCACGGGTGCATCTGAGTAACCAGGCCGTGTTTATTGCTCACGTTTTGAGATATCCTGGTTGCAAACCTGTAAAACCATTCTAAGATTGCATCTGTAAAGAGAAAGCAGAGGCAGACAGTAGCTCATATATCCCGGGTATTTATTACATAGTACAGCCATTCACTGCATTCTTACAATCTGTCAGACAGCACTTTCAGAGCAGTAACAATTCTCTGAAGAATTTCCTCCTTTTAACATCACTTCCTCACTCAGCCAGCTGTCTTTTTACAATGTTACTATCAGCTGGTGCCTAACAGAGATTTGACTGTTCTTGTATGGAAGAGAAACTTGTAGATTTTTGCTGGTCTTATATTTGGATTAAAGTGACAATTATATTTGTCAAAAATGAAAAAATCAATCAAACAAATTTACTCTTTTTCAAATAATAAACTGAGATAATAGATTGGAATTTATTAGGTGATTTACTTAGCTTTTATGATTTCCATTTTTCACACAGAGTTACTAAAAGAAGTAGAAAGAGATATTAATAAAACACTGCAGATGGAAACTGGGGTGATAGTAGAAAAGTTAATTAATCTGTTCATTTAAAAGTTAATTTTTAGTTTAAATGTTTATCCATTAGTTTAAATTAGTTTCTTCTTATATTTAGAAAATGGCGAAGCTGAACAAATCTTGGTTTCTGTCTATTATTGCACAAGCTCACTGCTGCACTCAGGTGTTGGGGGTCTGTGAGGCTCTCAGGATGTAGCAGATACTGAAGGAAAACCAGAAACTCACAGTAGGAGTTTCCAAACCCAGCAAAGATCCTCTCCAGCATTTCATACCTTTGTGAACTGAGTATGTGGTCTGAAGTCATAAGGCTCTATCTTCCACTATGACCAAAATTATTTCTGTAGGTACAGGAACCTGCAGTTGACAGAATTCACTGTATGTTCTGTAATTCTCATAACTAATGAATGCTGTAATGGAGTGAGGACTCGTTTCCCCTGACTCCAGAATCCCCCAGCTTTCCTGAATTTCATTTATCCTGCCTTTGTACCTCTCCTCACAAACTCTTTTCTTCTTCCTAGTTAAAATTTTCATACCTGGAAGAAATTACTTCAGCTATGAAACATGTGACACTTATTAAAGTAAAAAAAAAACCCAAAAAACAAAAAAAAAAAAAAACCCAAAACATCTCCTTTTGAGTTTTGTGCAAACCCATAGCCATTACTGGCTTAAATTCCTTACCAAAGAGATTGGAATTTCCTTTAATCTAAACTTCATGTGCTTCCTCCCTGCCAAGGCAGCCCAAACCGTGTAAATCAGGAAACAGAACAGCAAGCCTTGATGAGGAAGTGGGATCATATTCCAGAAACATTTGGTCCATAAGAAGTTGATCTGATCAACTAATCAGACCAGTCACTTACTGATACTTTCAGTGTCCTGTGATTTGTCCTGGAATGAAAATGGTTCTAAACATTCATATCCACAAAGCAACTGATAAAAATTGCTCTTTTTCCCCCCTTTCTTTGCTGTTTCCTAGGGCAGATTTTTCGAAATCAAAGTGAAACACATGCAACTTAACATACTTGATGAAGAATATGAGGAGTTTTATAAATGAGGCACAGTGTGTCAGAATAACATGGCTATGCTCTCTAAGACAGACACCTAAATCATATTGCTATGGTTTTGTATTCAGGCTACAGAATTCTGCATCTTTCATTAAAAGCAGACTGTGGTAACAGCCTCAGAGTGAGCATATTCAAAACTACATCTCTGCATGACTATCTCAAGTTGAAATAGCTGACAAGACCTGCTTCCCTTATGAGTTTTACCACTCTACATGGTCTCAATCCCCTTAAAGATTAGTAGGACAACACAAATACCACAGCAAAAAGCCTCTTCTCTGATGTTTTTACATAAAGAGAAAATAATATAACTCTGCAGGAAAAAAATGTCAAGGAAGAGTTAAAGCAAATGTTCCTGAAGCCCCTAAGAGAATGATCTCCCTTAGGGAGGTGATCTAGTCAAAGGCTTTGTGGAACAGTCCTGAGCCACAATGGTGACAGCTGATGTGTGTTACACAGCTTCCTAAATGTATAGTATGAACAATTCTTCAAAACTCCTTTCTGTTTCTTAAGCAGTGTGTCTCCTGAAGAAGCAGTGAAATGGGGAGAGTCTTTTGACAAACTGCTTTCTGAGAAAGGTCAGTAGTTTTTTCTCTCTTCATGCAGATTGTTAGAATGAAAAATTGATAGTAAACGATGGAAAATTATAAAATCCAGTTATGCCCTTGAATAGACATGCCAGTTACCTAAACTAGGTATCATGGATCATTTATGGCAGCATGTGTTTCCTGCTCTCCTTGTCTTCTTTGGCTATAGCTTGCTGTCAACTTGTGAAAAGAGTTTAAAATCATTTTTGTCTCTGGTGTTTTATTGAACAAAGTAATATAGCAGACAGCAAAGAGTCCCTTCAGTAAACAGGAACATTTAATCTTAATATTGCTCAAATATCCTGACTGCATATGCTCCATGTATTCAATAAAAGACTTTGTCCTCCTGACAGTTTGTTCCTAAGCCAGTGACTGGATCCAAACAGGCCATCATTTGAGAGGCCCTGCTGCTCCCATAATTACCAAATGCACATATGTTCCTGCCTTAATTTTGGAGGGGCACACGTATGTTTCAGCTACAGTGCTGGACACTGTGGGCTTTTCAAATCTGTTCAATGAACAGTTCACATCCACACAATTGCATTACTTTCACAGATTAAGTATGCTTGGGAAAGAAAACATCGTCAGCATAACAACATCAGGATAAAGCAAATTATAGATATGCTGAAATTCATCCATTTTAAATTGCTGCTGAGGAGTATTTTACTTATGAGCAATGATTCAAATAGTCTTTTGATCAATATGTACTGATATTCATCTGGAATAAAGTCCACCACTTCTCATGCTCCCACATGTTTTGCTAAATGTTTTTTCTAAATTTATGAGATCTTGGTAGCATTTTTTTACTGATGCTGAGAATTCTGTAGGGAGAGTTGCAGGATCATAATGGAGAAACTGCACTTATTTTAAAACATTTATGTATTTTACGATAATTATCTGTAATGTATTATTAAGGGAGCAAAACATATTTTACTACCTTGCACAGACTCTTTGAAAGAGTGACTCTCTGATAAGGATATATTTTTTTTAATGCAATTCAACTTTCCCTTTTGTAGCTGGGCTGGATGCCTTCAAAAAGTTTCTGAAAACTGAGTTCAGTGAAGAGAATATTGAGTTCTGGATAGCCTGCGAGGATTACAAGAAAAGTAAAAGTGCACATGAACTTCTGCCAAAAGCCAAGACCATTTTTGAAACATTCATACAGAAAGATGCTCCCAAAGAGGTAAAGACCTTCCTCATTATATACAGGGTTTGATTGACACAATTGCATCTGGTAAAACTTTCTTTTAAGAAGTGCATGCCCACAAGCAGCTTCAAGAGCTAGTCCTGCGGTCTCCTGACATAAGAAGACTTTCATAAAAGTCAAAACTCTGGAAGGAGCATGGACTTGCCTCGATTGACTCCCTCTCTCTTTTCCACCCTTCCACCTCCAATTATATATCCAGTGTGTTACTGTCAGCACAAAACAATGTTGGTATGACAATCTTCACCAAAACTAAGGCCTTTTTTTAGTACCCTAAGAATGAAAAAAGTTTTCATATTTCCAACTTCTTCATTTTACTAAAGTGTGTTAGAAAGGGTTCATAAACAAACAAAAGAAGTAATTTTTTGCCTGCCCTAAAAAGGAGATGAACAGGTTGGGAGATCATCAACCTTTCAGTGAAATCACAAGCAGCCTATTGAGTAGGTCTTTTTGACTTACAGTTTCCTGTAATTCTATCACATTTGAGCAGATCAAATATGTCACCTGCCAGTATCTGTATTTTTTTATTTGCCAGAATAGCAGAAGTTAAACACTAACTTCTGCTTCCTTGTAATGAGGGTGAAAAAGGTGTAATTCTCATTCTAGTGAAAGGACTGCAAAGTGGTGCTGTTTTCACCTGCAATTCCCATAGACTGCATTAGGCTTCAGATCTGCTTTTCCTAGGAAATGCCTACTTTTAAGGACTTATGTCCCTTTCCATTCCTTTCCCTCCTGTGTGCCTTTGGGGAGAAGCAGTCCTGGACAGGTAGCAAGGGCTGACACTGTCAATGCCTGAGACTGATGGAAGCAAAGAGATGAGCAGGAGAAAGCTGAGGAGAGGACAGAGCAGGGAAGTCATAGTAACATAACAATTTCTTTCTCTGCCATACTTGAGTTTGGTGCAGGCAGTGTGGGTGCTGTGGTTCACCTTGAACACTTGGCTTTTGGTGTGACTTCCTCCCTTGGGTTCAGCTGAGACCCCACAGCTCTGGAGCTTGCACACCTCCTCTGACTCCTTGTGCAGCAGAACTTCTACACACAAATTTCTGAGCCTACAGTTTGATGGGATCATAAAATTTTGGATGAGTGGACCCTTCTCTGATCACTAATTGCCCTTCATCTCTTAGATCTAGACTATTTGTTCCAACTAGTTGTATGGAAATGACAGGCGCCTCTCACGGAAGAAAAGAAAAACATTATAAAAGTTACTTTTTGATTGGGTCAGAAATTTTTTTATATATTCTATCTTATTTTTCAAAATAACGTGCTTGAACCAGTGCCTGCCACTTAATTAAAATTCTTACACTATTAAATATTTCCCAGGGTGAATGCAGCAGCACATGGAGTAAATAGAAATTTTGATATGATTTCCCAGTCTAAAGCCTCCAGAGACATATTTAAGTTAAAAAAAAAATTAGAATTTTCTCACCTTCCTACTATCCAAACTACACAGAAACCAAAAATTTTAACTATTCACAAGTGTAATCTCATTAGAACAAGTTCTACTTTAATCCTACATGACAGCAGGGCAGATCTGTAATAGTCCAGTATTGCAAAGCTGGGATGCTGTGACTATGCAGAAATCACTATTAGAAAGTTACTTTTAGCCATATATCAGAGTTTTTCTTCGGTTTTCCCAGTTTTCTGTGGTACCAATGATACATTTGTGGAGACTTTCTTACAGCCACCACTGAAAGCGAACACACCAATTCTGTGATCCTGTTGTATGGAGGATTCAAGGTCCTTGATGCCTTGAGAGGCTACTAGAACAGAGGCTAGACAGAGTTAAAGGAATAAAGTAGGTATTGATTAAAAGACATTCAAAGGATACACCTTGGGCAGTACAAGAGCCTGTCTGTGGTTACACCCAAGATGGACCCTGGGTCACGAGTTTTCACATTTTTGTAAGTTTTGGTCCATTTCCATATTTGGGTTAATTGTCCAATTCCAGCTCCATGTTATGCAGTCCCATCCTCCCAGTCTGCTCTCCTCAATTCCCTGTTGTTTGCACTTTTTGGGCCTGAAGCTGCAACGTGTCCTTTGTTCTGGGGCTGGAAAAGGATTGTTTTGTGTAACTGAGCTGTGAGGAGAACTTGCTACCACTTTATATGAAGTTCAGAGTTACACACTAATGCAGTACAAAATCTGGAAAATATGAAACCTTAAACTTAATGCTTCACTCTTATCAGAAAAGTCTTTTCCCAGTGTACCGTATCAGTGCTCTAGATAATAACACTGGATATGCATGAACGTACGTTAAACAAATATCCTGTTCCTCTTCCTCCAGGTGAATCTGGACTTTCATACCAGGGAAGTCACAAGCCAGAGCATGGGGCAGCCCCTGCGCAGCACCTTCGACGCGGCGCAGAGCACGGTGTACCGGCTGATGGAGCAGGACAGCTACCCCCGCTTCCTGAGATCCGCGCCCTACCGGAGCCTGCTGCAGGGCCGGCCCGCGGCCCGGGCCCCGCTCCGCCGGCGCTCCCGCTCCTTCACCGTCAGCGACTTCCAGGGAGCGCGGCCGGGCCTCACCGCGTGGTGACAAGGGAGCTCAGCCCCCCTCAGCCCTGTGTCACCGCGTGGTGACAAGGGAGCTCAGCCCCCCTCAGCCCTGTGTCACCGCGTGGTGACAAGGGAGCTCAGTCCCCCTCAGCCCTGTGTCACCGTGTGGTGACAAGGGAGCTCAGCCCCCCTCAGCCCCTGTGTCACCGCGTGGTGACAAGGGAGCTCAGCCCCCCTCAGCCCTGTGTCACCGCGTGGTGACAAGGGAGCTCAGCCCCCCTCAGCCCCTGTGTCACCGTGTGCTCAGCCCCCCTCAGCCCCTGTGTCACCGTGCGCTGACAAGGGAGCTCAGCCCCCCTCAGCCCCTGTGTCACCGTGCGCTGACAAAGGAGCTCAGCCCCCCTCAGCCCCTGTGTCACCGTGCGCTGACAAGGGAGCTCAGCACTCCTCATTCCCAGCTCCCGCAGCAACCCGGGTGTGTTTCAAACCCCATACCCTCAGAAGGTGTAACTAAGTGGTGAAGCAAAAGAAAATTCACTTAAACCAGGTCAGAGTTCAGGAGAAGAATCTCATTTTCATAGAAAAGTAGGTGACATATTGGCAAGTCACAGCATGCACAGTTTTCATATAGGATTTTTTTCTTTTTTTTTTTTTTTTTTTTATAAACTCAGGCAAAAGCTGTGATCAGATTTGGGATCTACTTAAAAATGTCTCATACAGTGCCATTTGATATTACCCAACACATATCCTGGGCCTGTATAATTTATGCCAGAGGTTCCATCACAGTTAGAATCTCTGTATCCAGTCTTTGCATGCATTTATATTTTTGCAATATTTCCTACTCTAAGCACAGAGAGTTTGTGGTATTTTCTCATACTGTAAAACACACAGGAACATTATTAGGTATAATGCAAAGTTACATGAATTTTAACTAAAGACACTGCATAATTAAAGCTATAATTAAAATGCAGCCATTGACTATTTTAAGAGGAATGTAAAAATACCTATTTAATTTTTGGGAGTACATTTTTCTTATTCCACATGTCTGTTGTCTATTTCTAAGTTATGATGTATATATTAGCTTTGGCATCAAATACATGTATTCTAATTTTTTGCAACTAAATGAGCAGCAGCAAAGAGACAAGAATGCTATTTTAACACAATGTGTATCCTTAAATACCAGCTGATGTCTATTTATATAAATATAAAATATTTCTACTTTTATTTATAAATAGTCATAGTATACCAGCTTTGTTACTAAACTTTGTTCCAATTTTTTTTCTGCCTTTTGTTTTAAAAATGTATCTGAAAATTAACAGCTCTTGGACTCAGGCTAAGCAACTTTCATTTTCACTGGTCATTAATATCCTCTCTATATGTTATAGAAGAGGAAGGAGAAATCTTTTTTATTTCTTTACTATCAAAGACAGACATATTCTTTTACAGTCAGCACACACAGTCATTCTGTTCTTTTCTTTCACAGTTGATGCAGACATACCTTGAAGCTTGGGGCAGTTCTTAAAATCTTAAACAGTGGTTCAGTTTAGGAAGGGGCTGCAGGATTAATCTGTAACTATGATTTGTATATTATGTCGTTTCTTGTGGAATTTAAGCTTTCTCCCTTTCCCTCGACTTTCTGTAAGTGGTGAAGGAAGAGGTGCAGTTCCTGAGGATGGGACTTTGTGTTCATTGTTAATTTGGGGTGTATATGAACTGCTGGATCTGCACGTTTCCCTGTCTGCTTTATTAACTTTCAATAAATCTGATCTGCTTAAAGAGTTGTCAGGATCTGATTTATCATCAGTATATTGATGAGGAAGATGTGAAGACTTCACCTAGGGTTCAACTCTAGCTGTAATCACTGCCACATTAATCAAATTGTTACTGTGCACAGAGATCCAAACTCATGTGGAAATGCTGCTGAGCCACAGTGACCCAGGAGCCATCTCCAAGCTCTTACCTTTACCTGGGGAACACAGAGGAAACACATTTATAACTACGATGTGTGCTGGTTTATTCAACACTCTCCCCTGATCTCAAAACACCAGGCACAGGCTCTTTCTGACAGTGAAAGCAGTCAGGACCTGGGCAAAGGCATTTTCTTCACTGAAAGAATGGTCAGGCATTGGAATGACCTGTCCAGGGAGGCAGTGGGGTCATGATCTCTGGAAGAATTCAAGAGGTCTCTGGCTGTGGTGCTTGGGGCTACAGCTTAGGGGTGACTGTGGCTGGGGAAGGTTAATGGTTGGACTAGATCTTGAAGATCTCTTCCAGCCTTGGGGTTTCTGTGATGAGGGTGTCTCTAGTATCACCAACAGTCTCTGAATGCCAGTTCTTAGATATTTAAAATATGCATGTTCCTATGACATGTACTAGGATCTGTGTTGGAGGAAGGGAACAGATTTGATAACAGCCCCACCTGAGTGCTGCCACTGGGCTTGCTGTCACACAGACATAAAACCTGCACACTTGCAGCTAAATTCTACCCTGGTGTGATTATGTTCCTTTATATCAGTGGAGAATCCATATCTTGGCTGGATTGCCATGAAGGAAAGAAATGAGAAAAATACATACATTTAATACTGTTCCAAAATCCAACCAAATTACAAATATAGTACCCTGAGTAAGACTTTTTGTTGTTGGCAAAATCCCAGCTGCTAGTCAGAAGGATCTGCAATGATAAATAGAAGTCAGAAGGTGCCCTTTATTTCATTTCACAGACACATGGAAAATTTTGCTTATCTCCAGGGAAGCCTTCCTCAAACCCATCAGTCTGTGGTACTGACAGTGCTAGTCCCTCTTATGAGTTTTATAATGAAAACAAACAAATAAGATATTCCTGGTAGCTATTTATGCATGTGTGTTTTCCAAAGATAATTATGAACCCTAGCTGAATTTACAGCAGACTAGTGCCATGGGAACTACTGTAAAGAGAAAGTCAAGATAAACTCAGAGAAAGGAAGGCAACGGACACAAAGATAAACCAAAAAGACATAATTATCTGGCAAAGATTTTTTTTTTTTTTTTTTTTTTTTTTTTTTTTTTTTTCCTAGAAGAGGCTCTTTGTAGTGAGGGAAAATGAGCACTCTACTCTTTAGTGCTGTGCTGCAGTCCTGAAGATGGATTTAGTAAACGTCTGTGATGCTGTTCCAGTATTGATCAGATTCAGGACTGGCCCTGCACACATGTATTTACAGCAGAAATCTTAGGGTAGTACCAGAGAACACAGTCATGCTTCTCTAGATTTGGCAGAATCTGTGCCACAGTTACGTAAATACTCTTGTTGAGCTGCCCTAATGCAAATAATACATATACAAAGCCTGTTGGACTTCATATTATTGAAGATTGTTTTATGTAGCAGCTTTTTATATTTATATATGCCATTCAGGCAGCAAGAGCTCCCAAAATATTCCTCCTGTCAATAAAATAATTTACCCTACCCAAACACTGCACTTTACTCCTTACATAGGTGAAGTCTCAAGACACAAAGCATGAGGGAAACAATCTGCTGACTTGTGTGGCACCAAGGTTTTTCTCTTGTTTCAACACTTCAGTCTAATTAGATGCTTTAAATTGGCTGAATGTGCTGTTCTTGTTTAATTTGAGGGAGGTGGAAATACACAGGACCAAATTTCTTCCGGTTCTGGATTTGTTATTGAACAAAAGACTACATGACTGATTTTTCAACTGACAAGAAGCAAGAATGAAATCTAAGATAAAGAATCTCAAAGAAGAAGACCGATTTCCATCTTCCAGTGAAACAGGCAATCAGTAACACGGCTCTTATATGTGTTTACATGTTACAACTTTTAAGTGACTCACAAACAACAGATCATTTTCTTTTCCTTTGTCCCCAGCTGCTCAGCCTGCCTTAAATAGCTACTGCTTTGAATGCAGTTCCTTCTCCTTTCCACACATGCTGCCAAAGACCTCAGGAGAGAAAAAAATTGCAGAAAATCATCTTCCTCTCATCAGTGATTCATATGCTCATGAGCTTACACCTTGCTCAGCTGTCTATCCCAGATCCCCCTCTGTTCTTTGCATTTTAGTCAAATGCCTCAATCAAATGCCCTTTAAGCTCCTGTGTGGCTCTGTGGCAAAGATAAAAATGTATTTCCTCTATCCACCACCCAAACTCGTTTCCATGTTTAATTTTATCCTTGTTAATGTGTTGCTATCTTCCGTTTGTTATGCTCTTATCACTTAGGGCTGGTCTCATAAAAGCTCCCTCTGGTTTCATACCAAAGCTTTTCTCTCTCCTTTCCTAAATATAATCTGTTTGTGCAACCTCTTCCTAATTCTCCCTTATACTTTACACAAAATTATCTGGACTTCCAGATTTACAATCTAGCTTCTACCATTGCCATCTCCCTGAAAGGTAATTAAAATTAACTAGCAAGAAAAACAATCCTACAGCAGCCACTTGAGAGTTTTCAAGCAGGACAGAAGATAAGGCTGAAGCCTAAAAAAAACCAACCAAACAAAAAGAGTTTTGTTTGGTTGAGAGTTCAGACAACTCTGAATTCTCATTTCTTCACCATAAAATTTGCTTGTAATTAAGACACTCTTGTTTCTTCACAGCTTAGTGGCCTAAATTTAAATTTCTGCAGTTAGTGCTATTCCAGTTTTTTCTGGTTGCACATTTTCTTGAGAACTGTTTCCAGTTCTTTTCCAATGGAGGTTTTTGATTATACAGCACTTGGAAATCCTGAATATGAGGAGCCCAGAGCGCTGTGAAATATTTTGACAGCTTGTTCTTGAAATCAAAACATTTCACCTGAAGGGCATAGTTTGCTTGGATGAAAAATAACAGCTCATTTTCTTATGCAAAACAACTCTGTGCCATACTGAAGGCACACAGAGTTATTCACATGGAAAAATATCAATTATTTTGTAAGTTGTCCATGCTGTGCAGTGCTGTGGGAAGGTGGGCATTTACATAGTGCTGTGATTAAGGTGTATTTGCATCCCCGTGGGACAGGCATTTCCATGTTCTTAGGATGTCAGCAGTGTTTGGATCACATCAGCTTCTCCCAACCTAAGGGATGTACCCAAGTCCCCGTGGGCTTCGACTGCTTGAGGCAGCAGAACATTAATTTTTTTTTTCTGCTGAGGTTACCTGGTACAAGCCAGTACTACCCAAGCAAATGTCTGCATGGAATGAAATGGAATTAACAGAGGCCAAGTGCTGAGGAGCATTAACACACTGAACTGCTGGGAAACACCAGCACATCCATTGAAGAGTGTGAGCTTTTCTCACTTTGTGCTCAGGTGAGTACAAGGCAGCCCTTTTAGAAACATATGTAAATGGAAATGATTACTTAGGTAAATAAACCAATGGTTTGAATATTTAGCATTGCTTTAGACTGTCTGCTGTGATTAGTATCCAGGTCAGACGAACAAAAAATGACAGGTCTTATGCCCCGCAACAGCCAATAGCTTTTCACAAAGGAAGATAATTCAGTGAAACTAATGCCTAGAGACAGTTAAAGAACAAAAGGTGAGCATCAGTAAAAGTCAAGCTGTGAGCCTAAAAGTTCTGGAGTTTAAATATTTAATAAATATGAAATTCTTATCAAGTAATATTGACAAAGTTGGGAACGTTCAGTCAGATCTACATTCTGTTTTCTAGAGTTTCAGCTCTCCCATGTCATCAAAGGCAGAGGACTCAGAAATCCATAGCCCAGTCCTCAGAGTTACTGAAAGGTTAAGCCACAGGCCTAACAGATAAAGAGAAAAATACCCTGCAATTAGCTGAGCAAGTAAGGGCCTGAGTGACTCTGGAGGTCCAGTCCCAGTTAGGACTGAACTGAAGCTATAACTGTGCGTGTCAGCTGGGTCCAGCAATGTCAGCTGGGTCCAGATTCACAAAATGTTTAGCACTAATTCTATGTGTAACTTCCAGCCCATCTCTACTACATATTTCATTTTGTTTGCTTGATGCTCTTTATTATGAATAGCCAACAGACTTGCACAAGCAGCTGATGCATTTGATTTAATACTAAAATCACTTTTTCTACTGTGACATTTCAGTGAAATATCAGTTTCCTTCCAGACACTATTAAGTTCCAAGCAGAGGAAGTACAGAGAAATACAACCAGCTGGCTTCTGTGAGAAGAAGTGGCTGTGCCTAACTTTGGTTAGTGAACTTATTTTCATTGCCCCAGTATAAATATTACAACAATTCTATTAACCTGCTGTGTACCTAAAATATTTTCAGCTTGCATAGACTGAGCAGTCACTGACTGCTCAGAGTGTTGTACAGTGATGATAGTCCCTCACAGCTTCTTTGTGGTTTTGTGGATTGTGAGCAGTACCCCATAACATGCAAAAGCAATCTGATTGCTTCCATCCATTTATTGTGTGTGCTAAAATATTCCTGGGTTTTAGCATAGTTCTGTAGCTGCTAAGACTGACTTCAAAATATCCATCAGTCCTGAAAAATCTTGAAGAGATGGTCGTGTCTGCTTCGTTCAGAAGCATGCTATCAGGTAGAAATTAAAAAAATGCATGTGTCGCACTATCTGGAATTTTGTTTTGAAATAAATATATATCATCTGATGATACTAAAAAACAATAGGCACAGGTCCTCAACCTTCCCTCTCAAAGTTTCACAGGAGTTAATGAACTATGATATAACAATGATAATACCTCTTTTAAAAAAGCAATATTAATCAATTTATGGTCACAGTTTTAAGGTGGGTAAATAGAAGAACCACTGGGATTAGACACAGAGTAAACACTGAGAAATTAACAGAGCCAGCCATAAATTACGAGTTGCCTAATTTAGTGTCACCTCTGTCCTCACAACTGGGCTGACTTTTCTGGCATGACAATGTTAAAAATTCAAATTGTAGCTGTTTACACTCTGTCTGTCCAGAAGCTCCACAGATAAATATCAGTTGGATTTTGTATGATGTTCATGTCCTTTTGCTAAAACCTGGGACTGAATCAGGCACAAAGGAGTTGATGCTAATGCAGATGCTGAGTTTTCTCCCCAGCTGTAAGATGCTGAAATTAATCTCATGAGCACAATGTATGAAAGGCTTTTGGTCCTCTCTTGCACAGAGGATGTTCTCTAAATAAGAAAAAATGACCAATTAAGCAAAATAAGAATCATGGCAGAAAGTCAGGAGGGTAATTAACATTTCTGTTCTTCTGCTATAATGTTTAGAAGCAAGCAGATGCAAAGCTAAGGAATTACAGAGGGTATTAGTATTTTGCTGCTAGGAATATTTTTTAGTAATATGTGGGACTAAAAGGGCACCTTAGGTTATAATTTCTAGTGTTATTTTAATGAAGACAACAATTTAAAATAATCTCACAAATATATGAAAATCTATCTTCAAAGTTCAGAAGAATAGAGAGGGAAAAAAATTCTACTGGGAGACTGCAAAAAAAACCAGTTTGTGAAACCTTATTCTGGTTTTCAGTCTGAATTTGTTCACTGGCTGCTTCTACACATTTTTTCTTTTGTCAATATAACCATTAAGCTAAACCAATTTTTTTTCTCACCAGGTTACCTCTCTGTATTCAGAGGGCAATCATAGCTCCTCTCTGCTTTCATCTTAGAGACAAACTGTTCTTTCATTCTTCTCCTGCAAGACAGTTCAATTCTCCTGCTCGTCCCAGTAATGCACCTCTCCATATCTGTTTCTATCCAATTTCAACTTCCTGGAGCACAATTGACCAGACTCACTGGTTTTTTGTCCCATGTGAAGTTCATTAAATAGATTGGCCTGAAACTTCTTTTACAGATCTACAAAAGGTAAGGATAAGGAATAAACTCTTAACATTGCTAAGCAAGAAACATGGCATGAGGTGCTTGGGTTTTTCTTTCTGATCCTAGAAGATGGACATGGCTAAAATAAGAAAGATGTTCTCAGGCAGGTAGGAGGCAGCTTTGCTCATGACTGTACCACAGAGGAAAATCAAATGGGACTTAAACTCCTTAAACTGTTCTACTAGGTGTAAAATATTTTAACTGAGAAGACAAAAATCCTTAAGTCTGCAAGTTGGGACAGCTGGGATCCCAGTTTCTAAACCACTGGAAGTTTATGCCAAGTGGAGACATTGAGAACCAGGAATGTGGGTGATCTAAGTAAAAGATTTGGCCTCAGGACAAGATTTGGAGGGAGGCATGAAATTAAGCTGTAAGCCTGCTTATTCAGGAGAGTGAGAGACCGCAAAGGTTATAGAGAGGAAGCAAAGAGCTGGGAATGAGAGAATAATTACCAAGAGCAAGTGACAAATTACACAGACCAGCAGCTGGCTACAATCCCTTCTCAGCCAGTTCTAGGGAGCAATAAGTTCTCCTCTGGGGCTTTTCTCCAGGCTAAACACCCCAGCTCCCTCAGGTGCCCCTCATCAGACCTGTGCTCCAGCCCCTTCACCACCTGCTGCCCTTCTCTGGATTGGCTCCACCACCCATGACCTGGGCAGGAATGTGTTGCCATTGCCCCCAGTCCTTTTGTATTATGGCCACTATTGGTGAGAGTGGCACTTCTTAAAATTAAGCCACATTTCTGAAAGAAATTATTTTAAAGAAAATGTTGAGAAGGTTTGTCAATGTGCATTGTCCTGTTTGGTTGTTCACATGCTAACTGTATTGTTCCTGCTGTACCTTCAGCTTGAAGATCAGTCAGAAAAAGAAACTCTGACTTCCCTGAGACAGTCAGACAGACAAACAGTGGAACAAAAAATGCCAGTGAAGTGAGTTGCTGTTTATGGCTATTTTTAATGGTAGGAGATTTATGTGACGGGATGACCAAGTTTGAATAATCTGCACAGCTTTATTTTCCTTCCCCCTTTGAAGGGGATATGACTATTCTGATTACTTGTTGTCAATTCTGCTTGCCATTCCCATTCAAGTAAATCCCACATAGTCAGTGAGATCATTCTCTGAGTGGTGAGTAAATATTAAAACAACTAATATTACCCATAAGAACAAGGAGCAAAACTGTCTGGTTTATTGGTCTTTCATTTTGCTATTTTGTTTGACAAGAAAGCTAATAAACATTTAATAAAAATCTTGAAAATTTGTCATATATTTGATTAAAGTTTCTTATTATTGCTAAAACAAATTCTCTGCCGATTAACACCATCATCATGTGATGTCTTGCAAAGTACAACATAATGCTATGTTTAGTTTTCATTTGTTTTCACAGACTTCCTATATTTGCACTCCAGCTTCCCTCATGTATGTCTTTATATATATACTTATAAATATGCACAATTTTTTTCTTGCTTAAATGTAATTTTTGCATTCTGGATACAAGTAAATTGAGAGCTACAAAAAAGCTTGCTTGTTTAAGGTGTCACTGCCACCAACCCTTATAATAGTATGACTACAGCCACATAATATCCTGACACTGTTACATGATTTCTTTATAAATTTGCAATTAGAAAATACCATTACTGGTGATGCTGAGAAGTGGCTGTGGAACACAGCTCTCAAACCAACCTCTATAATTCAGAGAGCAAGGTAACATAATAATAATAATAATTCAGAGCCTCCTTAGTAACATCAAATGTTTTTTACGGAACTTGGGAGTGTTTGTGATTTTTTTTTTATGCTGAGTTGTTTTTTTTGTTTGGTTGGTTTTCTGGTGGGGTTTGTTTGTTTTAAGAAAACTGGTAATATTTTATACAGAATGAAGTGTTTGCCCTCATATCTAGCAGAAGCCTATGGCAAGTTGCAGGGGAAGAGCCGAAACTATGAATTTACTCAATTATTTATGCCACTGAGAAGATCATATGAGGCCTATGTTTCCTATTAGTGTTAGCTTGGTAACATTTTAGACAATTCTTGTCATTACAAGCAAAAAGTGCCATATAAATTAACGCCTAATCCTTTTGAACTCCAAAAGAAAGTCAGTACACTCTCTAGAACATTCCTACCTCTCCTGTGCTTTATTAGACCTCCACCAGCTGCAAGTATTACGAGTATTTCCAGGATAAATAATCCAGTCAGTGGTGCCAATATCCCTATTTTGCTGTGTGTAGGGTAGGTGGAGTGGCTGAGCCCCTCTCCCAAGCAGCCAGCCACACCACAGGCTCTCAGCCACCCCAGGCTGCACAGGGCAGAGACCACAATGCTATTTTCAAGGATAGATGTTGTTTCCACAGGTCAAACGCTGGGGAAACCATGGCCTGGTCTGAGTCTGTGGATACAGTACTATCTAATAAAGGTAAGAAGTGATGGAAAAACATATGTGTTTTTAAAACATTTGTCATCCCCTTTGCCAAACATTTCTGCCAGGTCTTCACACTGCTCTCCAGTTCAGCTCCCCACATGCAATGAACTGACCAGAGCTGCTGCTGGAGGTGGGTGAGCTGCTGTCCTGAGAGGTTTGTCTAGGCTGCAAACACAATATACCTTCTGGCCAGTGCTCAAGGGCAGGCAGAAATGCCATGAAATAGTTTTTGTTAAAGTAACTGCTAAATTCCCCTTGCAGTGGTTTCATTTTTCATAATTTTTTACACGAAAAACCACAAACATTTTATTAGGTATTCCTGAGAAATATGCACATTGTACAGTGACTTCCAGTCAAACAAAAAATGACATATCTAAAGCCACTTCTCCTAGAAATGCCATTTCTACAGGCCTTGTCAACACCAACAACCACATGCAGCTTGGAAATCTCCTTGCCCCTGCCCCATTTCCCAGCAGTAATGTTGTGGCCTAGACCCTGGGGTGCCTCCACACGTTCCTGGATAACTTGACTAACACAACTAAATTTGGGTACTGTCAGCTTTCTTTACTCAAAGCTTGTGATCTGGATTAATTTTAAAACCATTTATTCCAAACAAACATTTATTTGTTTCATTTTTTCCTCCTCAAAGTGAGAAAAAAAAAAATAGAGGAACAAAGAAGTAACAAGGAGTCCATCTTTTATCCAGGTCTTAATCTTCCCTTGCAAGGAGATGGAAGCCCCATTTGAGCAGGGAACCTCAGCTGTCGGGGAAGCACATTAGCACAGTGTGACCTACATTTCTATTTGCTTCTCAGCCCTGGAGTCAGCCTCAAATCTCTGATTTCCCAGCTGCTACAAATCCTTTTGAAGACCAAAACTTATAGGATCCCCTTTTAACAAATGCACTGGTAGTGCTAAAGAGACCAAACCACAGCAGGCAATCCTTGGTTGGCAACTCAACTGAAAAACTCTCTTAGTAGTCCCCTTAGCAGCACTATAATTTAATCTCCTATTTATTTCCCCTGCAGCAGCTTCTTAAACCTGACTGCTGGCTGATATGTAAAAGAGTGGCAGATACATAGGTTACACTATACTCTAAATACTGTATATATACTATATATATATACATATATATGTATACTACATATATATTTACATACTGTAAATACACACACACAGACAGACACACACACACACACACACACACACACACATATATATATATATATATATATATATATATACATACATGAACATACACACATACGTGTGTGAGTATGCACACGCATAAATTGCACTAGCCTTTCAATTTTCCTCCACCCACTATCTGATGCATTTTCCCTAGAGGGCCTAGTGGCTTTTCGGACATTTTTGAAGTCCGAGTTCAGTGAGGAGAATGTGGAATTCTGGCTGGCCTGTGAGGACTTCAAGAAAACCAAATCCTCCACCGAGATTGCCTTGAAAGCCCAGAAGATTTATTCTGACTTTATACAAGCTGATGCTCCAAAGGAGGTAAAGAGTTTTTTTCTGTGTGTGCTTTGGGTACTGAGGATAGGGATGAAGTGGAAAGTTCAGATCCAGACCTTAAAGAATGACAGAAAATACATTTCAGCCTGGCTGCAGGTCCCATTTTAATGTCCATTATTTACCTTGTGCAACTCTGAAGCAAAGATGTTACGGTTTACAATTTACATTCCTCACAGTGGGAATAAATTTCCCTCATCTTCTGAAATTTGTGCCAGAAGTTTTAAGTTTATGCTCAATATAATTTGTTTTCATTAATCATTTTTTGTAATGCAGTAAGCACCATCTCTTCTGTATTTAAGGTACTACAGCATTAGTAGGTTTATAATTGCATTTGTTCTTTTGTATAGGTATTTTTGACATGATGACAATGCAAAAATTTCCATCACAGAATTCAATTTTATAATTATTTCAAAAAAGCTTACTGTGAAAGAACAAATTGCTTATTAATCATTATTCACTTTCTGCACCATAAACTTTTACACTGGTGGTTTTGCCTTTGCTAGCAAGAGTGATTTAAATGTTCCCATGTCTTACACATGATTGAAATACATCTTATTATTGTTAAAAACAAAAAAATCCTTAAAAAATACATAGGGCCAAAGACTAAAATGATGCTGAGTACCTTCACTTTTAATTTACTCTCTGGTAATCGGTACTTCATAGGATTTGATTTGGCAGAAAGATGAGAAGGAAAAGCAAGTTTTTCCCTTCTTTTCTTCAGCGATGACATCTTTTTAAGAGTCAAATAAAATAAAGAATTCAGTCTGCTAGAAAAGAAAGGGATGAGCTTCCTGCTTATTTGCATCAGTTGGGTTATTTGGGAGGAAATTCCCAAGTGAAGCTTGTGTTCTGGACACATTCAGACCTCAGCTTTCCCAGCAAACTGACACCACTTTCATGCTCCTTTCTTCCTACAGATTAATATTGACTTCCACACCAAAAATGACATCTCCCAGAACATCTCTGAGCCCACCCTCAGCTGCTTTGATGCTGCTCAGAGCTCAATCTACTGTCTCATGGCAAAGGACTCTTTTCCCAGGTTTCTAAGGTCAGAAGTGTACAAGGAACTGGTGAAGAAGCACCAGGACAGAAATCAGAAGAGATGGCTCCCATTTCTGTGAGGAAAAACACTGAGGCATTAGGAATTGATAATGTCTCCTATTGCAATTCAGTACAGATAATTATTCATTATTAAAGTGATTGCAGAAACCGCTTTCAAAGTCACCTGTGCCAGCTTGTTTTTAAGTACAAATTGTATGCAATTCTTTCTAATAACAGTAGAGAAATATTCAAGAAGCAGGATGGAATATGCTAGACACTTGAGCTATCTTCCTAACAAGAAAGTTTACCATTGTTGTTTTTTTTTCAGTGTATGTTTCAGTTTTCAAAGAGATTTGGGATTTTTAAGCATAATGTTTTGGTTTTCTTGTTTGTTGTTGATTCCTGTTTAGAAGTACAGCCTCCAGAATAAATCCATTTCAGGAGACTTGAATATATTACTCCTTCATTTGTCACCTTATTTGTAGCTTGAAAAAAAATTTAAATCTTCTATTAAACTTATTTTATGCTAGTTCAAAACAGAAGATGTAGAAATATGGTTGATAACACACTATGATAATATCTAATAAATAGGCAGCTGGTTTATAACAAATATTCTTGGCATTTAGAACAAATTAATGTTTCATAATACAGCTATCTTCAAAAAGAAAGTCTTCAAGTTTCTTTATGTTAATTTAATTTTTTATTGAAAAGTATCATTTATTAATTGCATAGGCACTTGGGAAGAAAGCCACAACTGAGTAAATCTCCCTTTGTACATTTTCAATTATTTTCTTTGCTTTTCCAATTATATAAGGTACTGTCCCCCCACATACTCACAAAGAAATAATTTCATTAATTGCTACCAATGAAATGAATTTGCTAATTTCATTTCAATAAAATACAGATAAGCAAAAAAGTAGGCATAAAAACAGTTTTAGGCTGTCAAGTAAACATGTAAATCAGGATTTAGTCATGGTGTTATCCTTCAAACCAGCAAGATATAATTGAAATCTGCAATCTTCAGGTGTTTACAAATGCACACACTAATCAAATTCACTGCTCTTGTAGGATTTATTGCAAATATTTAGATGAAAGGAGGAGCTGTGTCGTGGTATTGAAGAAAAAATACTTTAAAGAAATAATCTTTGCTGTGGAAAAAAGTTCTAAATACAAGAGACAGCAATAAGAGTTTTCAAGAAGAAAAAAAATTAATTCTATTTAGATGCTTTTGAGGTGCAATAAATCTCTAGGAATCTTGCTCTATTTGGTGCTCTGCTTGTACCGTCTACACACCACCACATCCTCTATGCAAAATATCCCATTTTATCAAACAACATTAAGGAGCCAAGTAACTTAGACCATAAAGGATATTAAGTAGCCTGAAAGCCTGACTACGCTCTTCAGGTTATGAACTGAGTTAAAATCCTGCCACATGTTAAACAGGCAGGGTGAAAAATACCTATCCTTTGATACCCAACGATTATCGTCTAGTTTTAATTTTTGCTGTCTGCATTTCTTTTTCCCTTTTCTTTCTTCCCCAGGACTGGTGGTTAGTAGAGAAACGAATAGGAAGGCTGAGGTTAGGCTGCAAGGAGGATGTGGGCTCCTCTGGCTGTGTCACAGCTGCCTCTGATCTAGCAGTGACATTTCTGGGGACAGTCGCCCCTCCTGCCTGCACTGCACCCTCAGGGCCATTTCTGCTGCCTGGAGTCACAGCACAAGCAACACCAGGAGGGCCCAAATTATGTCATCTACTCAAAAGTGTAGCAAGTTATCTTCCCTTCCTACAAGCCCCATTTGAGTTTTCAGAACAGAAAATTCCCACAGAAAGGAAGAGGTGGGACTACACCACTTTTCGTAGTAGGTCCAGGTCAAGCAAATAGAAACCCAAAATTTCTGTTCTACCAATATTTTGGGACCTGAGGATAAAAAAGTGCTTGAAAACAAATGGGTGGTAATGAAATCTCACAATTCTCTCTGTACCCCTATAAACTCTACCATTTCTGGCTCTACCCCAATACAGAAATAGAAAGTGCCAGAATGATGGCTGCCAGTGAGCTCCTGCTCCTGGCCACTTGAAAACATAGCTTAAGGAGAAGTTACACTCATATATAAAATAGTCAAACATGATAAAAATAACGTGTGCCATTATTCTGAAAACTGCATAAAAACAATATCAGGAAGCATGATGTCCACACAATGTCTGGCTGATCCTCTGTTATCAACAGCACCATTATTGTCAAAAGAGGTAATAATTCTTGACATTTTCACATATGACATTAATTTTAATAATTACACAGTGAAGAACCATGAATGATTTTAACAAATTTTCCATTAATTTAGAATGTTTTTAAGAGAAACATACAGGAATGGCACTTCTAGGGGGAATATTCCTGACTCAAGGGTGAATTAACAGTACTAATTCTTTCATAACCTCTTAATGAAAACTTTAATACTTCTAATTCACAAAGTTAATTAAACTTTTGTCATTGATCAAGCCCCACAACATTTTTATTAATCTGTTTCACTACAAATTCATATATATCTAAAGGCAATTTGATTGCCATTCACAAGTAATTTTTCAAACTCTCAGAGCACTCTCTGCCTATATCATATGCAATTACACAGAAGCATCTACAGCATATTGAAATGGTTTGGATTTTAGCAATCAAAGTTCTGTAATTCGACTTATCATTTAAGCATTATAAAAGATTTATTGCGGAAAGTGTAAGAAAACACCCAGCCATGAAAGATGGGAGGCAGTAGTCTTTATTTCTCTTTACTTCCTAGGTTTAAATCTGCTGCTTCATATTCCTACATCACCAAAAAAAGGTCATAGATTAGCATACAAGCTCTGATAATTTGACTTAAGAAAGGCCAAGAACAGAAGTGTGCTTTAGGGGATTTAGGTTGAACTTTGCCAAAAAGACTCAATCTTGGTCAGCACAAAAAGGTGGATTTACCAAAAAATCCTACCAAATAGAAATAAGAGTACAAAATGCAATCTGAATGCCACATATTAAAAAAGAAAAAAAAAAAATCCCAATTTCTTCATGCAGTGCCAATCCTAAAGCTCCAACAGCATCTACACTCAGAGATCCCACCACATCCGTCATGCTCACAGCATGACAGGACTGTCCCAGGTTTAATTTTCAAGACATACAGTCTATGTTTTCATTCTATTCATATATTTGACAATGTCTCTACATGTGCGTGTCAAAGTTGGCTGATGACTTCCTGTTTTTTATCTCCTGTCTGCACCACACACCTTCAGAGATTCTCCAGCTTGTGAGAAATCATGTGAACGATGCCCATGGGCCAGGGGAAGGGCCCCTACTCACGTCTGTGGGGGTTAGATCAGACACAAGAGAATAAAATCCAGCCTGGACTAGATATATAAAAGTTCCAGGAATTCTGAAGACCACATGCCAAAATTAGCCATTTTTGATTAAAAAAACTCCCTGGATTTTGGGGAGAGCAGGTGCTACATCTAGACTTTACTGCTATGTCTTAAAAAGGGAAACCTACCATTTGTAATTTGACTCTGGCAAAGGCAAGGCAGGGGAATTAAATTAATGAAATCACTGTAATATCTTTATTTCTGGAGGATAATTGCACTCTGCAGTGCTGGTGGAATTTTAAAGCACATTGTGGATCTGAAATTGAAGCACATTTTCTGCATTTGGTTTACTGGAAAGTGAGGCGGGGAGAAAAACATGAAGAGAGAGGTTGTCACAGTTGTTGACACCAATTAAAGGTCTCATGTAACCCAAGAAGCAGCCTGTGCTCGTTAAGACAAATTAAACTGAGTAATGAAAAAGAGAGCCTCATGCATATTCACCTTCATTCAGTAAATAGCGTGCTGCCTAGGAACGGTAATTGTTCGATATGATAATTTTGAATTTTATTTTAAATACTTATTTAGTAACAGAAAGTGATTTGTCAAACTGACAAGTGGCACTAAAATTATCACTAAAAGCTCTACTTTAAGTATTCTTAAGCTGTTCATTTTGAGAAAAAACACCTCCCATCAAAGTTTCTTTTCCATCTTTTCCCAGCTTTTCAACTTCTATAATATTAGGCCCTGGAAATTAGACTCAATGCATTATTACATATTTCAAAGAATTCCCTGGATGCTTTGATTTTTAGTAAGAAAAATGACTCAATACTGGATCAAATGCTTCTCTACTTTATGTTTTTTTAATATTGTTGCTATGGTTTCTAGCTGCAATGTCATCATTTCTCTGTACTAAGAGAGACATTGCCTTTTAAATTGTTTTCCTGTATTGCATGGGTTAAGTTATTTGCATATAAAATGAGTAGAGCTGGATTTATCTCTCAATCCATATCTGTGTCCATTTAGCTTTGCATGGAGGTTATTTTTACTTCTATGAATAGTTTTCCTACTGTGCATAACAGTCCTGGAAAGACAAACAAAAGTACGTACTCAGTAAAAACTGTAGGGAAAACATTTTTTCCTAATACAGGGCTTACAATTTACAGGCTTATACACCAGGGACGAAGAGAAAGAAGGAAATCCATAAATAAATTGTTTCTTTAATAATTTCAAATATGCTGTGCTTCTAAATGTCATGTTTTCATGGAGAGAATAGAAGAAATAATGAAGTTAAATGATTTGGTATTTTGGATTAAAAAAAATGTGTTGCAGAAACCCCTCGATGACTCCAACTGCATGGGGAATACAGCAAGAGAGGATACAGGGAGATTTCCCAGCCCAGTCTTCCACACTGGTTAATCACCTCAAGGCTGAGCTGCAGTGGATTCACCTTTCAATTCTTAACCAACTTCCAGCAGCAAATAGATTTTTATTAAAATGCAATGTTTTATCCATCCAAAATATAGAATGCCTGCACTGCATTAACTACAGACTACAGAGTCATTAGTCTTTAAGCCCCCACCACTCATAAACAATGCTATTAATAGTTATTCTCATCTGCTTATAGATATTTCTGCCAGCAACCTTGGGAGATATCCAGGGTTCCAGGGGCAATTACTTCTAGATTGATTGTATAAAATAGAAAGAACATGAAGAAGTGTAAATATCACAAACTCAAGGAAGCTCATTCTTCATGTCACAGAACAGGGGAAGCTCCTTTGAAAGGCTGAACTAGTTTGTTATGTAAAACATTATATTCAAGAGAAAAGATGCATAGGCAAATGCAGGCTGAATGGACAGACAACAGAGAACCTCAGAAATGTTCTTGACACTGTAAAGTGACATCACATGAATGAGGAGATGTCAGCCCATGGCATTTTACCTGCTAGTAGGACACTGCTGCTTGTAACACCAGCATTTTCCCAAGTTCTGCACTTTGTTTTCCTGGTCCCTTATTCAGGCTCCTCATCACGAAGGGACTGATCTTTCTTTAAGCCCATTTTGAATTGGACAGTGCTACCACTTTGCCTTGAAGTGTCATCAGCAAC